ACATCTCGCCGAGCTTTCATCCATTTATCGTAGTCGCGTATGAAGACGTTCGTTGAATAGTTCCCACACTTCCTCGCGCTCCGAAATTAGCCGACGCATTCACGAAATATCGCCCGTTTGCTCAAACGCGTTGTCGCGTCGTTCAATAATTTCCTAATTAAACGTAGAATATATCAATTCTTGTATCGCAGAAAATCTGTACAAAACTTCCATAAGAAGCTATCGCAATTCACGCAATTAAAAATCTCTGAGCAAGATTTCTATTCATTTACTCGCGGAATAAACGCATCGATGATTACTTAAAGAGCACCATATGGGTTACAAATCTTTAAACAGATATAACGTAGAGAACAGAAAACAAATTTATTTTGTTTGTAAGACAATATCCGATATATTCGATGCCTATAAGGACAATAATATAGACAACATCTATAAGGAAGCTAAAAAGAAATAAAAAGAACAAAAATATTTCTTAAAAATTTGATTAAACGTCTTAATTTCTTCGCAGGCGCGAAGTTCCGCTGGAGCCACTTTGTCGAGCGCATATCTTTCTCGTACGTATCACACGTAACCATAGAGTCAGTCATCGCCGCACGAATATTCGATACAGCCACTCCACGTCCTCGCGCAGATTATTCGTGTAAATGGGATTGTTCAGCGAGCCAGCAATTTACAACCGAGCGAGCAAGTAATCGCCGATTCCTTCCCGCTCCTTCCGATATCCTGGCTCACGTTCATCCTTTTCCCGGTTTGTACTAGCTGAGAAGGCCGGTCAGGATTATTTCGTACTTTCCTCCGTCCTACCGCTACAGCCAGAATCGATTATTTCTGAATGAAATATCGTGATTCGAGTAGCGGCATTCAACGAACCTAGTGTCTGTTTCACTCGACCAAGCGAATACAAGCTTCTAAGTGGGATTCACGAACTTTGAGAACACATTTACCAACAGATTTCGCATTTAGGTGCTATTTCGTACAAGTTTGCGAATACTCGAAATCTTCGTGCAAACGATGATTCGTGTTAGTTAAAAATTCTCTTATTTAACGACGTGTACAAACAACAATCTTCCAAAGTTAAAACGTATATTTTCTTTTCTTTCCTCTCCTCTTTTTTGGGGAGGTGGCGACTATTGAGAGAGAATTTTATCGATGAAATGACGGATCCGAGCACAGGGCAGATATATCGATGTGATCTCCGGTGACTTTGGTTAGAACTCCGATTATATATCGTTATCGACGTTGAAATGTCATCTACGAAGCTAACGCAAACGGTATTATCGCGTCTCTAATCGCATGAGCACAAGGACGATGTAAGCAAACAGGTATATCTGTGTGTCGATGACGAAACATGGAAAAAAGCAGCGATCGATGATATAGACACGAGTGATTCAACGTTCACTGCACGGTAGAAGCAGCATTCTCTGAATAAATGAAAAATTCTTAGGTAATACACGACTAGATAAAGCTTACACCTGCAGAATGAATTATAGCACAAGAACGAAGGGAAGCTGAACGTTCACTATCTTCAACCTTCTGCAATGTCGTGTAACTTAGGAACTATATATTATCTTATTATTGCACTATTCTCTTAACGGCAGTCCATTTATTTGCAGCAATGGTTAATTTCTAGACTTCGTATTGAAATAAAAAGGCTACGATTAATTGTAATTTTTCTACTCGTGAGAAGAACGAACATAGCAATTGTAGAGGATAAAAGTAAAAAGCTTCCAAGATCTCAATGACGTCGGATGAGCATCCACCTACTGTAACAATATACACAAATGGGGTACAAATCCTTATGTATAGGCCAAACTCTGTCATCAACAATGATGTCCAAGACAATCGAGGATGTGCACAATGGGGACAATCTTGAAAAATCTCAAGAAAAATTCCCCTGATGGAAGACTAGAATAGCATAAGAGAGGACAACGACACAAAAGCATCAAAATCTTTTTAAGAATTGACGAGTGCGTAGCCAGCGACTGCTACTCTAATTTTGTCCAGCTTCGCGATGAACAAAACAGAAATCGATATAGCCTGTAGAGTGCGCGTTTGACGACTTAATTATTTCCATGCGACAAGCGTCTGTAACGACGATTTTTCATCTGTCAGCATCCATCCACATTTCCTAGTTCGCGACGGTCCAGCTCCGAAATTAGACTCTATGAAACCGGACCAACCGGAAATTCGTTCCCTGGCATGATCGAGTCACGACTAACTGAGTGGAAATATTTGCAATAGACTAATACCTGTTGGCATTAAAAGAGCCCGATTTTGTCATAAATTGTACAAGAAAGCAAAAGAAGACTAGTGAAAACTAAAATACATATATCGATGAGAAGTAAAAATCGTTTTATTTATTTGCAACGATCGTTGGAAGTCTGCCTCGAGTTACACGGAATTTGTTTGTAAAAAAACAGGAGATAAATAGACAATAAATAAATAAGTAATTTCTTTGATGCTCTTCTTTATTCTTCGAGCAATGTTTGAAATTGCTTACTGTAAGAACTGCGTCAAAACACGATGTAGACATGACTGCGGTAGACATGACGCATTGACACGTCATAGATGCGGTAATTTGTGGACTCTGATGCATACTCCTTGCATGATTTCACGGTTTCGTTTTAAAAAATCATCGCCGTTCTAATTGACGTTTCCTTTGGAATAATCTGTCTCAATGTCACGAAGGAAATCTAAAGAAATTAACGCGGCACAAAACACAGACATTTACGTAATTCTTGTCGCCTGTGTGCATCATGAAAAGGTGTGATACGGAATACTTCAAGTTTTCAGTAGATAAAAATGCAAGACGTATCGTTACATCAAAGTAAAGACGCAATGCTTCAAAGACTCCAAGTTTCCACGTACTACGTAACAGCGTCTTGGTTTTATATCGTACAAAGATGTAGGCATAAAAAGACACGGTGCTACGATTTAAAGAACGTATTAGTTAACGTATGTGACTCTAAAGTAGGATACTCCAAAAATACTTTTACTCGAACGTGGTGTCTACATATTTTCGTAAAATTGTAATTTGTAATTGTAATTTTCGATTTCGTTGTTTTCGCACCACCCGGTACTTTTACTTTCAACCTTAGTTACTTGTCTCAGAGGTAAGTCCGGCGCGGAAAAGGAGGCTAGCGACGAAGCACGATCACCGGAAACCTTTCAACGACGAAGCCGCCCTCGAAAAAGGTACGCTTTCGAGGGCAGGCGCGTTCCTCAGTTCCGTTGCCGAGAAAACCGCGCAGACTGTGTCGATGTCTCGAGTCGATGCACCTGAGATTACGTTAACGGTACGATCGATTTGTATAAACAACACCGCGAAACCATCGAGTACGCTACCGCTCGCGTTCTTTGACCCTGCGTCGAGAACCCTCGAACGCATAGCACGTCGAGAAGGGTCTTTTATCCGTACGCTAACCCTTCCCCTACCCGCGGCATTCCACGCTTAGCCTTAGACTCGAGAAAGAGGATCGGAAGAGAAGACGAAGCAAAGCTGCTACGAGCATGCTCTCGCTACCAAGGTGTAACGTCCTGGTACACCAGTCTGACCACTCTTCTGCTCCCTTTGCCCTCCATACCCTGCCTCCTTTCTTCTTCCTTGAGCCTTCGTTTCGCCTCCTTCCAACTCGACCGACTGTCTTCGCGAAACTTCAAAACTAGCGTTGTCGCTTAGCGAAACGTTTAGCGGATATGTTTCACATCGAAGTACGTAACGTTTAATGTAAAATTTATCGCACGAACTCTTATCCTCGATAAGTAGTAGATGAGAAAAGAAAATGAAGAAGATGTCGTTAACGCAATTTCTTGTCAATTTTACGACTATCTATGTAAATAACTAAATGGAATTTTCCAACTTGGCGATGTGTAACGAACAGGCACGCTCGTTAGCACAAAACAGTTGTCATCTCGAAACACGCGTGTCTCCTCGATAGGTGTGTCAAAACGAAAACTACCGCGTTACAAAAATACCACGAGTGGGTTGAGCTCGCGGCCGATTTGAATTTCATTCAGCTCGACCTCGGTCACGTTTGTTTGCGTTCGCGTAGCACGAGAAATGGCCACGACGTAACAGGCCGTTCACGACTATTCACGAGGAACGAGTTTCCACGTCGAATCAGCCTGCCAGTCACTGACGAACCCTTTTGTGGTAGAACGTCTGATTCGTGCATGGAATTTCACGATTATTGCTTCGAGGCGTACTGCGTTCAGCTGTATCGCGAATACATAACAAATAGGAATATCAAACTAGTAGATAACGCGCAGGATGCAGCGTACAATCGGTTCTCTAAACTTAGACCAGTGATAAAACGTCTGCAACAAACCGCAAGTCTTTTATCGCTTTCTTAAACGGAATGTAAAATTCTAAATTCGCGTTCACTGCGCACATATTTTGTTTCACCATTATCGTTCCGTAATAATTCCTTAATAATGTTATTTGTAACCGCTACAAACAATAACGTTTCTATCTTTCATTTAAAGAATTCAATCGCGTTCGACTGTACCGATTTTCGAAATAAAAAGGAACGAACTAGAATAAAATGTTACACCCGATAAGATAATTTGCCCTCGTGATAAATTTTAGGATTAGACTCTGATGATTTGATCTCGAATAACTTGCCTACTCCGAACGAGGCTTATTTCAAGATCGTTACTCGGAATTAACAATCGTTCGTACAATGGAACGCAGTATTCAATCATAAAGAGTTCGTTTAATCGGACGTTCGTCCAAGCCATCGACACAAACCTGCGCTGCAAAAGGGAGTGGAGAAAGAAGGACATGAAATGCAACCGATCCTCGTTCTTTTTCAGGCTAACCGTATACGGTTCCTGCTTATGACCGCATATAAATCGTCGACGACGATCTCTCGCGAGTTGAAACAGAACGAGGCCGGTCGTCGCCGATTGTCGTCACTGAATTCCTTCAGCCGCGTGTTCCGCATGCGAAATGAAGCGCGGTTGCATTCTTGCCGCGTCGATGCAAAACTGTTACTCACCAATAACGATGTTCGCCGCAGTTGCCTCCGGAATGGATCGGCAGTAAACCCTGCACAGACAAAAAAAGACAAGCGTCGTTTTAATCCACGTCCCTGTTGCTAGAACCCACTGTACGCGAATCAATTCCTTCAGCCTTCTCCTCTCCTTTTTTTCGCCGACTGCACCACACTACGTACGCGCGTTTAAGGCGTACAGTGATACATGGTACTCGAGTTTGCGTTAAAATCGTACAGCTGTCGACAGAAATAAGATAGAGCGATGAGCAAGGTTAAAGTTAGAACGTTACGGAATAAGAGAAAAATAAGGAAAAGTATGACGAACGAGTTTTAAAAATGTACATCGAATTTGACGATTTTTAAGAAGATTGCCGTTTATCCGTCACGATGTATGGGTTTTGACAATGGCAACTCCGTTAAAAGATGTCGAAATTAATATAGATTTTCAAAATCTGTTCGTGACACGTTTCTCTATATTTTCCCTTATTCTATTGCTACGTAATTTAGCCTTAACCTCGAGCAAAATTCATCGCTCTATCTTATTTCTATGGAAAATTCTACACGATTTTGACAGAATCTTGAGCACATTATCCCACTGTGCGGCGCATGGAACGCTTGCTTTGTTGCCTACTGACGTAATACTACGTTCTTTCATCGGTGAAAGTCGCGGTTTCTTCACGTAGTAGTACGTCCCTTTCGCGATGATTGAAAATTCGAATTCTCCTCACTGACGATTCACTCGCGACCTAATTCCAAGCGTACTGATTTTCCCCTGTGCAAAACGCTTTACTGACCATTGACGTAGTTGCACGATCTCTCGTGAAATGCAATTGAAATTGATCGACGATCGACTAACTAACGACACACCGGGGTTCACATAGTTTTCACGGTGCTTCGCGCATCTATGTAAATTCTGCGCAATCTATTTCGGACACGATCGCGAACGTCACTGGCCACTGTTTCTAAGCGTCGAACGCGGGCTTCTTCGGCAGGAATATCACACGCCGGTAGGTCAGCAAAACGTTCGAGCATCCGCGCGTCTCTCCCGTTACGCAATTATTCGTAACTCGATCGACTCGTCGATCGGGCCCAAGGCGCTTCCTCGATGCCTTGAGACTTCTCAGCGATATCGAGATCTAGAGCTCGGTCGTACACTAATGACCGATGTCACACTGATCACAGTTCTCCACCAACAAAACACACCAACACGTGCACGACTGCTAATTAATCCGCCAATCCGACAAGATGTTGTGAACGAGCAAGGTCGTCACGGCGCGTGTTCCTCTCTGCTCGTTCTCTCGTCAACACCGGCAAATTAATACTCTGCCCGAAACGCGACAGAACAAACTGCGTCCGTCCCAATTTCCAAGTTCGAGCGGAGAACACCGTCAAGGTCGAAATACCTCGGACCAAAACGAGAGGAAGAGAGAAAGAGATAGAGATAGAGAGAGAAAGCGGTAAGAGAGAAATCGAGCTAGGTCATGGCCAGAGTTGGCAGTACCTTGAATATCCTTCGATCTTCTGCGACCTCGTGGCACGACCAAGGATCCAAGAGAAACGAGGATACGTGGAGAGTTGGTACGGGTAAGGACCTATGCTAGATGGAAGACAGAACACGAGTAACTTTGCAAAGTGGTGAGCCCGCTTCTTCCAACGAGTAGTTGTCTACTTCTCCTCTGAGTCCCCCCTTCCTCCTACTCTTAAACCATCTCTTTCTCTTCCATTGCCTCCTTCTGCCTCTTCCTTCATCGTGCAGAGGCACGAGTCAGTTTGGTGGGGGGCTCGGATCACGAGGGGGGAGCCTCGTAAGAGAGAGAAAGAGAGAGAAAGGGGGAGAGAGAGAGAGAGAAAGAGAGAGGGAGAGATATCGAAGAAAGACGGAGCAAATAGCAGAATGTGTGTAAGAGGGCGGGAGGAGGTTTGGAGAACGAACGAAAACGCACATGTGTGTACGTAAGTGCACTCGGCTGCGAGGCTACGACGTGAACGAATAATCCGGATGCATCCGAGGGACGGTTGGAGGGCTAGGAGGGGAACGAAGTCAATGAACGACTTCACCGCAATCGCCACGCGGCGAGAGAATTTCACGGTTGCGAGCTTCTCTCACCCTCTCGCTGTTTTCATCCGACTACCATGTCCCTCTTGCTTTTCCTACGCTCGTTTTTTCGTTTTACGACATTATTTTTTCCCCCCTCTAATATCGTTCCTTTTTTTTTTTTTTTTTACCAGTGGATCACGTAAACAAGCTGGTGCTTCTTTCTTTGCGTTTATTCGCCGGAAAAAATATATTTAAAAAAAGACAAACTATTCTCAAACCATAGAAACTTCCTTGAAGTGTCGCTGTGACACTTTTCGAAATAGTCCATGACATCCGACGTCTGCAGACGTTCAAAATGTCGATTACTATCGCAGACGCAGACTGGTAGAAGATAATCCAACTTTAAGTTTCGAAACCTTACTTTTATGTCATCCACTCGCGCTAGGCGCTTTCATTTACAGTCAGGAAATTCTTTGCATATTGCGCGACAAGCATATTTCACGAAATTCATGTGCCTCCGCTACACCTGTATCGATGGAACATCGGTAAAATTGAAGCAGAAAGATTTTCTTTTGGTCCTAGACCCGAGTGAACATGCGGAAACAACGTTAACACTGATACTGTTTCCCAACGGGAGAGACGCAAGTTGGCGAGAAACGGGAGGAGCTCGTTACCAAATGAACTCGCTCGAAATTTCGAAATTAAATTTAAATCTCATTCAACTTTATCGTTCACAGCGAGTCGCGGATGTTGCAACAGCAGGCACCGAAAATACGCTCTCTCGCCCACTCGAAAACGTTAATGCCGGCTGTTCGCGGGCACACGAGTTCAGAAATTATCCGAAACCGTCTTTAGGACCACTGAATAATTTATCCGGCCCGCTATCGACCCGCCATGTACGGGGCCAACTTTTAATTGCGTCTACCGAAACGATGCGCTTTTCGAAATTTAATCTATCAACTGCTAATGAACCCAGCCAAATAACGAAATACTTGAAAAATGTAATCGATCCAATTAATCGTGCGAATTCGTCAAGTTTTTACCTGGATAGTCTCGTGCACGCGTATAAGTGAAACGTACGCCTCGACACATACCTTTGTTAAACACGCAATATATACACGCTGTCCAAACCTAAGTATCCGAGCCATTTGAAAATTAACCAGCAACAGAATTCCCTGAATATTTCCGTCGGCACGTTAAACGAAATTAATCATTCACTGTGAAAGCTCGTTTCTGCCATTAACGTTGTTGGCTAATTACTTTCCACGAGTTGCAACCACCTAGTCTACCTTGTGGGTACCAGCGTAACTAAAGGACCACCTGGAATATGAGAACCACGTCCTTTCAACAAGCATACACGTGCATCGTGCCTGAGACAATGGCTCTTCGTGCTAGTCGAGGAAATTCTCTGGCAGCTGACTAGGCGATCTTTTCCCCGAGCATTCTGGTGGTAGCGGTGAATCGACCAAGAACACGCAAGAATATCCGATAGCAACGCGGAAAACTGGCTCGTTGCGGCACTTTGGCTACCACCGCACAACGACGCCGAAAAAATGTAGGCCGCGCAAACGATATCACAGCCGGCTGGCTGTCGGCTGGATC